TCGATGAAGATATATAAAGACAAGTCCAAAAAACAGGTAAAACACTAACTAAAAGTAAGGGACAAAATAAATTAACTGCTATTATGAGAAAAATGCACAGGTTAAAAAGTACATTTTCAAATCAGCTCTGCTGTTGCGGTTGCTGCTGTTGTGGTTGAGGTTGTCGCTTGCTCTCACGGCTTAGTCGCTGTCGCGCATTCGTTTGAGCCTAAATTTCAAACGATCGTCGATTAATGAAAAAGCGCACTAATTTGCTCAAAAAAAAAACTCTGACCTTTTCAAAAGAACAGTGGCACATTACGAAAGATTTGAGATGTGCATATTATCACACAAAAGTAATAATATCTACTTACCTTTTCAACCAATGGGACAAGCCGACCTTCCTTCGCTAATATGCGAAGCATTTCGACAATGAATGGCAGGTAATTGTGACGACGTCTAGCGTTTTCTCTCCTATACCTAAAAAGACAGGATCTGAGAAACTGAGATAGAGAGAAGTCATACCGACCCGAGGCAAATAACTTCAAGAGAAAATAAAAAGCAGCAAATCGACTAATGATCAGATTGAAAAAAGAACGTACATGTCAAGCTTATGTCCTTCCTCATCGATCTTATTTTCAACAACAGCTAATTCGTCATACATTGCATCTGTTGATGGGAATGTAACCTTACCCTATAAATAATGCTGTCAAAAATGAGACACGGAAAAAGAATAAACAAAGTCCATACCTCAAGAATCTCCTCTCGCCTTTTTGTGTACTTATCCATCATATTACCAACAACGGCCATCAAATTAAACATTATGTCGCCGTCGTTGAAGCTTGAATGGAAATGAGTATTATGAACAATTGCAGAATATTACTAACCGACGCATTCTTTCGGTAAGGATAGGGCTAATCACCTCCATCCATGACTTTCCCTCAGGGATAGTAGTAAGTTCGAGCGGAAACTCACGCAGGCCATCAAGCTCGTATATCTGAACGGAAAACATGGAAAAAAGAGTAGGAACGAGTAAGCATTAAGGCAGCGTCCAGGCAAATCTGGACACATGGGGACATATGGCCTTACGTGGAAAGTGATTTTAGGACCTAACTAAGACACCGCCAGCGGCAGCTCAGATGGTGCACTCACCGCCGAGATATTTG